TACAAGAGAGACCTATCCAGAGCCCTCCAATAGGGCAGGCCCTTGGAATTATCCATTAGAAATTGCTCATAAAAATTTACAAGCTGCCCCAGTCAGAAACAGAAAATCCACAACCCTGAGGCACATGCATGGATTTTATTTTTAATCAATGACAGTGGCCCATTTTATAGCTCCCCTCAAACACAAAGATTTTCCGTCTTTGTCATCATTACAGAAATCATCCAGTATGACAACATTGCATCATTGGTCCCACGTGCAGGGAACTGGTCCTTTCTCTCAGGAGAGCAGAGTTCAAACTTTGCCTCGAGGCCCCAGGGAAGGTGAGCTAGGAAACCATCGCTTAGTACATAGCAGCTCTGCATGCCACAGAATCATGCCACCTCAGCTCAAGGCAGGCTGAAAACTCAATAGCCAGGGGAGCAGCAGAGCAGGATTGTGGCACATGGACCACATACAATAGGCCCAGGACTATCATGGTAGGGGAGGTGCAGGAATAGGATGAAGAGGTCTAGCAGCATGGTGGGAAAAAAAAGCTAACATCATCATGTGCAATAAAGCAGTGGGTCTCAACCTTTTATGTATTGGGACCCATTTGTAAACACTGAAGGCCAGTCCCGACCCAGTGCCCTTCAATCCCGACCTGCTGCCCCCCAACCCCAGGCTCCAGTGTGCGGGGCAGGGGGGGCCCCCAAGCAGCCCCTTGCAGGAACTTTGCCAGCCTGCAAGGGAAAACCATGGTTTCCCATGTTTTTTTTCTTTAAAGGAGAATCCATTTTAAAAGTTTGTTTGCAACCCTTTCGTATATTCTTGTAACCCATTTTTGGGTCGCGACCCACAGGTTAAGAAATGCTGCTATAGAGCAAGTTGGAACCAAGAAGCATTCTGAAGAGCTTTCTTCTCTGGGGGATACGGTAGAAAGTCATCATAGGCTGGGAGTGGTAGCTGGTGTGGTACGTGCCCTCTCCTGCTCATCTCCCTGCACAGCCCAAACTACAGTGCCATTTGCTAGGATTGTAACAAGTACAGCGAGCCCTAGATTAACAATCAGCAGATTACATATGGCCTTCATAAAGGGAGGTCAGCATAATTTGTACTATTTTCACAGTGAGATGAATGGCTGCTTCATGGTTACCCAGCAAGCATAGGTGAGACTATAACTCAGATCTCCAAGTCTTAGTCAAGGCTGTACCTCACAGGTAATATTGTCACAGTCATAGAATAATAGGAAAGAAGGGCAGAACAGGACTTCTGGAGATTTAGTCCAGCTCCCCACACAAGGCAGGATCATTCCTG